AGCTGTTAATGTGCAGAGTACTGTATGATTGGGACGGAGTCAAAGCAATCCAATATTACAGCTGCAGTCATTGTAAAAAGTCTCAGAGCTTAATGTCAAAAAAGGAGGGAGGGTGGCGCATGCTGACCAGCAGATTTGGTAGTGGTCACAAATGTGAATCGCTCCGATCTGTAGGACAGCAACATGCATTCTTTGGCAGCTCGAGAATTAAACATGAGTTTAGATCCTGAATGTATATAAATATACTTGATCGTGCCTGTAAAAATGGCATGCATTTTCATGTAAATTTATGTTTATATGAAAATATAAATTATTATATATATAAAAATATTTCACTTTAAAAATAAATTTTAAAAAATAAAACAATAATGACTGCGCATATCTAACTTATAAAATAAATAATGCTTTCGCTCCTAACATCTACAAGTCTGCTCAGTTTCTTGTCAAGATGCTACCCCATGAGCCATACACAAGTTCGCCAGACATCCTACAGGTCACCATATCCAACACGTCCTAATCCTTCAAACCACTTCTCTCTGAAATGTCGCGTAAATACTTCACGATAATCCTTCTACCCAATTACTATTATACTCTATTTTATCTCGACTTCCTAGGCCTTTAATAAAGCTGAAATTTACTTTTTTCTCATTTACACTCTTCTCTCGCATAAACTTCGGTTGCTCTGACGATAAAAAATACATAACAACACTCATGTTTGAGAATAACTATATTTTCATAGAAAACGTCAAAGTTTTCCATGGTAAGACCAATATGGTCAACATCATACATTGCAAATGTGCACTATCATATCAAGTACTGTATAGCTTATTCTTGTATTTTTCTCGTAAATATACTTCCAATAGTGTATTATTCATGATTGCATTTTATACCAATTTATAGCTGTGCAGGATTTTCTCCTCTTCCTGAAAGAGCGTTCAAGCACTTGGGGTCACAGTACTCACTCAAATATATGTTGTTTATCAATAGACCATTTCTATCATCAGGAAATGGAACGAAGTATGGGTTGTCGCTCAACTTCGATGGAGACCTTCGTGAAAGATTTACAAATTAACAATTATAAGAATCTGTTCCGATTGCTTGTACTATAATTCAACAATATGAACTTTTTAAAAAAGTGATAATGTATGCTAATTCACAATTGTAATTCGTAACATAATTGATCGTGCCTGTGAAAATGGCATGCATTTCATGTAAACTTACCTGTTTATACGAAATATAAATTATTATTATTATAGGGCCCCTAGCTCTGTTTTCGTCAAGTTAGGCCCTCCTTCTTTTTGCAGTTTCAATAGCAATTCATATTTTGCCTGTACTTCATCGGCCGCTGTTTACTCTATCCTACTTAGTGCTATTTCAGAGATGACATCCCCAGGTTTCTGCTTGTCTACCAGTACACTGAAGTTTAGCCATTTTCTAATACGCTCACTTCTGTGTGATTTCACACACGTGTTGAGAGACTGATAAACCGCTTCGAATGAAGAAGGCTGTAACACGAATGTCTCGAAATTGTGTGATTATAATGGATATGAATATGAACAATAAATCATGTTCGAAACGTCATCCAGTAAATGATACTGTTTTACTGCGTGATATATCTAATACATAAATTATTGTGGAGTTACATAGGTGTGTATCCCTCGGAAATACTTTGCTATATATCTCTGATGAAACACTCACGTAGGTCTTGACAGCATATTGTGCGATTCAAGCGATTTTCCAACTAGTTTGTGGCTACCAATAAACACAAAACTTTCTATCTTCCAGTGTGATGAAGCGACGAAGAGGCTGTCATCGAAATCTCAGATCTTTATCAATCATCTCAAGGTTATTCATTGATGAACACTCGTCACAGTAACTCACGCCTGTGGACTCATTGTTACCAGTGTTCTTTAACTGGTCAGTGTGGCAGTTTGGTTAGAGAAAACTTACAGCTCCTTCCCCATACACGCTGCAGTCAGTGGTGCAAATATTTAACCTTTTTCAAGGCTTGGTTTAAGACCGGACCATCTTCTTTCATATCACACGCGACTCACAACTCAGTTCGCCACCGTCTATCTCTGGCCATTACGTACCGGAAAATCGTGGACGTTTTATTGCACATTACTGAATGGACCTTTATGGCTTTCGTAATGGAACATCCTTTACATCAATAGCCTGGTCAGTGGTTATAGGTTTGTTTTTATTCAGTCAGTGAACTTCAAGGGCTATAATAACTGGGCTCACCACCATGCTCCTGCTAACTGTTGGTATTTATCTGATTGCGATCCTGGGAGTAGCACAACGTCTGGCTGGATTCGAGTCGAGTCTTAACCATTATCTGAGAATGCACGTATGCTGGCCCTTTCATTATCATATTTATATGGCATGGATACTGGACCTAGACACACAAATTCTTCGAACTACACATTCTTCAGTTATCCTTTACAGCACTGGAGAGCTTCTTCCTTTGGAAACCAGAAGTTCCAACTTGGACTCCGTTAAACTCCCAGAATTGATGGGGGCATGATAAAAAGACATTCTTCCAAAGGAATACCATCACATCTCTCCGATTGTATGGATGTACTTGAGGCAACACACGCTGGAGCGGATGCCAAACCATGAGCGGTCACCTCAGTGTGCTTCTGAACTGCTGTTAGGCAGCGGTGACCAATTACAGTGCTGAGAAAGCCAAATCCGTTCAGGTTACGGTATGTAATCTGTTTAGTTCCATAGGTGATGATTGAGAAGACAAATGAAATAGCGTCCCTACTTCACAGGAATGTTCACTTTTGTCTAGATACTGTTGCTCCTAAGAAGGTAGTGAAATTAAGTAGACACCAAGCTGAATACATCCCAAGGGCATACCACAATAACTTAAGGAAGTTGATGAAACGGTATAATTCCATTAAGGATATGTCACTACTACACTCAGTTCACGAGTCACTTGAATCTATCAATCGCCTACACTCACAAAAGGACCTCGACGAAGAGTGAAGTGCACTTAAAAGTACCTCCAAACTTTATAACTTTACAACACTTCTTAGAAACTATTGAGGTCGACGTCGGACATCTGCTATTTACTTCACGACAAAGCAATCTACAATGAGCCTGCCACCATCTCTGGAGTCCTCAAAAAACTCATCGAGTGGTTTGCGAACTTTGGTTTAGAAATGCGCATCCCTGGTGAAACCTCCCTCTTTCCGGCCCTTTCCTCGAGAGCACAGTGTTCACCAATCACTTAACAGAACAAGCAGTTAAAACCCTTAGGACTTCTACTAGCACGGTACAGGATGGCATTCCTCCAATAATTTTCAAAAACAGTGGGTGTGATATTCCCCTATTACTTCCTAAAATCTTCTCAATATCTGTGGACACTGGCTCTTTCTCTAACGAATGGAAAACTAGCTATAAAATTCCACACCACAAATCTGGTGACAAGGCAAACGTTCGCAATTACAGACCTATAAGTATAACCCCAGTTATCTCACCAATCATGGAGAAAGTTGTCAAAGATCAATTATCAGACAATCTACTTAGGGACTATCTGCTTGTTCCCAACACAGATTCCTCAGAAGTAGGTGCTGCGTTACTCCCCACGTCTACTTTTTCAGCTGCATCACTAGTAGTCGCGGTGTGAATAAGCTAGTCGTTGTTCTCTACTTCGATATATCCAGGGCATTTGACATGGCGTATTGCAGTATTCCCTTTAAGAAGGTGTACTCATGTGGAATTCGCAATCCATTACTTAAGTGGTTAAAGTCATTTCCAAGCAACAGGGTAGAAATAACCAAAGTCGGATCCGTATTGTCTCATCCTAGGCAGATCACAAGTGGGGTTGTGCAAGGTCCTGCGTCCACTTTTATTTACAGCCTACATTAACGGCATTTGTAGCTGCTTCGCCTCAGTTAAACCAGTCCTATATGCTGTTGACCTCAAAGTCGTTTACTCCTGCTACAGTCATGAATTAAACGATGTAGTAAGTATAATACATCTGGAAATAAGTGGTCTCGCAACATGGTGTGCTGGTGTACTGACAAATGCGCCTGGAGCTGGATTCGCATCGGCAACAGTAACCTTGACCTAACTCCTGAAATAAATGGGCAAAAACCAGCCAAGCTCAACTCAGTTGTAGATCTCGGTATCAGATACTCCAGTAAATTAACGTTCTCTGAACAAACTGATTATGCCAGATGTAAAACACGAAGGCTTCTAGGATGCATAACTCGCAATTTCTTTTGTTGTGAAACTAGGGTTTTATGATACAGTGTGTGTTCGGCCTGTTTTAGAATACTGCCCGATTATTCTTAGCGGACTGTGACAGACTGACAAGCTTAAATTAGAGGGAATGGAGTGGCAATTTACCTCTGGAACTCTTGGTTTACAAAGTGGTCTCGAATACTATGAGGTCTCGGGCGTCATTTAAGAGATGGTATTTCCAAAGTTGATCATTGTAGAGATTAAAGAAAGATATGTAAGAATTGCTGGTTGATGCCGTCACACTAAGACTGCCTAACCTTACTGGAAACTCAGGTACATGTTTCTATTTCTCAAACATTACCGGCGAGGTCATGGGTGTTTTAGATCGAAGTAGATGGATGTTAATCTCCCTAACTGTAGTACTGAGTAACACTGACTTGTATCTCAGATAGGATGCAAGTCCTGGACTCAAGAAATAGCCTAGTAGCTTATTGTCTGTTGATAGGTCAAACCAATATTCAAGTTAAAATATGTGGACAAAGAGTTATTCAGACGGTGTCGCGATAGCGTTCGTGATAAACAGGGTGATCTTGACGTTTCTCTTAATCTAACAGGATGACTATGTAAAATTGAATTTCTTAATATTTCCTTCCGATTCACCTCATTACAATGGCGCCCATAGTAACAGATGTGATCGGTTGACCTCGACCTTCAGGATTCAGTGTTAAACCCAAGTACTTTTGTTCTCCAAGTCTTCTGGTCGACAGTCATAAACTAAACCCCAGAAAAGCTCGCCACTACTAATGACATCAAATGCTTCAGTGACGAATAATTCTACTACGGACAGAGTTGTAAAAAGTAATTGAACAGTTGGGTAACATATACATCTATTTCGGTTTAGATGGTTAAATCCCATTGTCTGTTCTTTTTTCCATGATGTTATTGTAGCTTGTATGATCATGGACCTACCGGCAAATCATTTCAACGAGTGGGCTTATATGTTACAACATATAAACCACCTGGTTGAAATATTTCAACTGGGTGTTTTATATTTTCCACATATAATTATGTGTAACCCACAGGCCCTATATATGAATCTCCCCAATGATATTTCTGTACACAGTAGTGACAGAACTAGGAATTCTTTTTTGTGTGTTTAAAATTTTGTAAGATTACGATCTCAGTATAACTGTTGTTAGTTCATTTGCCTGTCAGATAGAATTATAGAATGGCAAGTGACGATGCAAATAGTTATGCGGAAAGTTAACGAATGGCTTAAATAGCATAACTTTACGGGGGAAATGCATCCATGTACCTCATCACTTTTAATCCGTGGTGTATTCTCATTCGCGAGCCCTCTGTCGATGTTCTGATTTAGGATTAGTTACCATCATGTCATTTAATGTAATCTTACTTGTACGGCGAACTAGTGCGCTGTTCAGCTCATAAAATATCCAAAATATCAGTCTAGTATGTATAGCATGGATTTCAAGGAATCCCTTTAGACGTAATTAGCATTTTAAATTGTGTATCAAGTGGTTTTTATTAATTTCATCTGGTAAAATTGTCACTATGAGTCATCATTTCCCCTAGCTGGACGTTTATAAACATCAGCGTAATCACAGTTGAGTTTTGCTACTTCTTAGTTGAACTGTATTATAAATGAATTCTTTTAAAAACGATTCACCGATGTGGTGCAAGTTTATGTACTTTATGAGAGCTACAGTTCATGTGTTCTGGATCAGTGTGCTACTCATTTACTCAGGTGGCTTTTAAATCGGGCAATCACTGGTCAAGTCAGAGTACTCTAACTAATGTCTTAGGTGTGGTATGCTGTAGTAGCAAAGGGTGTTGGTGTCGTTATATCTCCATCTGTGTCAAGAAAATGAAATTTGTAACCGGTTAAAACAAGGCAAGTGGAATTAACAAATACAAAAGACTGAAGTTTTATTGAAAATCTCGTCTTGTTAATTATTTATCAGCATAGCTTTTCAGCTAGGTAGGAAGCAACACTATGCAACACCAGCTGTGGTTCTCATTAACTATGTTGTTACTTTTCTTAGCACCGGTTTAAATGGTTTCATAATAAATTCTCATTGAATTCAGAATTTTTGTTATCGTTTTCATGTATCTCGGACTGCACCGAGTATTTACTTAATACTCATCCAGACAAAACACCGAGAAATGATCAAGAACACTACTGTGATCGGTGTAGTTTTCCGCATAAGTTGAATCCATTAGATTAGGATTCCTTCGTCTTCAAATAATTTGCACAAATTATAAACACTGACAATCAGGTTATGATCTCTTAGAGAAAACTGCTGAACCCCTAGCCGTTTTCAAGTAATTTTCATAAGTGCTAATTAGCTAAAGGCGTACTCTAATCAGCAATATATTCGCCTCATTTTATAATCACCCAGTTAATAGAAAAAATTCCTGTGGTTATAAATTATTCGGTTTATTTCACGATATCACACTCGTCTTTTGTCATATTACATGATTCCAATTAGTACCTTCACTCAGACCTGTAAGAGTAAACAACGCTCGTCAATTATCATGTTTGCTTTCTTCGTTACCTACTTATGAAGTTGAGAAACAGTGCATAGCGTTCGGGTGGTTAACACTTTTTGATAAAATTTCATTATGCCTTTTGTATACTTCGAAGAGTTGCACATGCAATTTATTTTTGAGATATCTTTGCTACCTATATTTAGATTAAATTTTGTCTTAAATTCTATCAAATTCATACACATTATGAAAGGATATTTTCCATGTACTGAATTTTTTCGAGTGACTGACTTTTCTTCATCCTCATAAGTGAAGACTACTATACGTCGTGCTTTACATCGCTAATACGTTTAACGTCAAATATTTTTTTTTATTTTGATTTACAGCTTGATTCCACACCATATTTTCAGTACGTGTGGAATTTTCAGCATGGATATCGGTAGCCCAAATTCAGGCCGACCATAGATATTGGGTGTGCGCCGGCAGGGGATCGAACCCCGGACCATGTGCATGGTCGGCGAGAGTCCTATGGTGCTTTTACTCTGCTTGGCATTTTTCTTCCTGACTACTGTAGTCCTATCAGTCACTTCCTTTTTTAATAGTCTGGGGAGAACTCTCATGTCATTAAGGTTAAGTATTCATTTAGTGTATTCAGTCTAGTTGTTTTGGTGGCTTAATTAGAGACTATCGAACTGCTAGTCTAAATCATCTGCTTTGATTTGCAGTAGGACTGGTACGAGCATCCATTAGGTTGTGAACGGCAAACATATAGGAGCTGGTGACATTAACTGGTTGATCACATGGCACAATGTGGTCTTTGCAATAGTTGGGTGTTTGCATACATGTCTAAGTACCTTGGCCAGTGACAATTTAAAATGTGCTAGATTGAGTTATATGAAGTACCAAATGCCTGATAGCAAGACTGTCCATCTCGCGACTATATTATATGTGAATGGTGTTATCATAACGCCTACGGTTATATCTGCCTTCATTGAAAACATTTGACCTGTAAAGCAGTGTAGAGTTACCTGCTATTTCGAAAGATAACCGTCCATCTTACTGACGTGATGTAGCACGTAAGGCATGAGTTATTTGGAGAGCGTTTTCCAGAGACTAGCTCACGCAGGCTTTCCTTAAAGCGTTTAGGGGATTTCGCATTTCGCTGACACCATCTAACAGGTGTATGTTGGTAGTGCATCAGTCACAGTTACGCATGGTATTTCTCGAATTCCAGTTATCACATTTAAGGGACTACAGATAGAGAGAAGAGTTTAATTGAAAGACTAAGGGAAATGCAAACGGGAATCATATAAAGGACATTCCATTATACATTAAGACCGCATCTATCGAGACCTATTTCTATCGTATTTATGGAGTTTGTTTAAATAGTCATGTTTATTCATTCATTTTCCAATGCAAATCCCTTTGTGAGTAAATACAATAGTTTAAGCACTTTATTCAGCTAGCATCTTTTGTCTACACGGAGGGTGGGTATGCTCAGGGAAAGTGCCATCTTGTTTCTATCAAAGTTATCTTCCAGTGATGATGACGGTGGGGCGTTGCTTTACGTAAAAGTTTACCTCTACAATAAATTTTGAACCATGGAGTGGTTATTTAGGCATTTTTTGACACTGAAATGTGGTATAACAAGTGTGTTTTGCATTGATTTTTGATCACTACATCTGTAAGATGTGTTTGCTTCGATATGTGGTTCAGTCTAAATATAATATGATCCTGAACACCTTTCATTTTTCTTCTAATCTTAGGTATCCCTCATCCTCCCACCCACCGTTTAACATTAGAGGAAGTGTTCGATAGCAAAGGAGAACCGCGAATTAAAGAATTGAAACAACATTTTATACTCGAAGGTCGAGTTACTGAACAAGTTGCTCTAAAAATTATCCGTGCTGGCGCTGCTTTACTGAGAGATGAAAATACAGTTCTGGATATTGATGCACCGGTTACTGGTGAGTTATTATCTGATGTGACACGTCACCCATCCATAATCTGCACTAAATTCTCTATTTTCTATTAGTTTGTCACATAGTGCTTCAGGGAAAACGAAATGCTTTCCTTTTGATGTAATGGTTTTGACACCTTTTAGGATCATTGCCTCAAATCTTTTTGTAGGGAACCTACGATTCACCTTTTAATTCACGATGTAGTTCATATATCTAATTACTTGACTGAAACAAATTTCATCTAACACAATTGTAATAGCTTCTTAAACTAAATCTGGAGGCTTTGTTTATTGTCGATGCACCTGAAGTATATATTAGCATTTTTTATAGTTCATATCGCTTCATAAATCTGAAGTCTCATTTTTCTTTTCTCAAAGACAAAAGCATTACCACACATTTATTTAAGCCCCTTGAATGGATAATTATTACAGACCGAAAATTAGATGCTAAATAGTATCTTTGCATTTTCAGAAATTGTCAAATATTTGAAATCACGGGCCCTTGGCTTGACATCCTTTTTTAAAACTTATTTCTTTACCTTCCTAGTGGAACATAACGCTTCAAGCTAGATCTTTAAAGTTTCGGTAGCAGTGATGTTTGTTTTTTACGGGCTTGGGTTGCTAGCCTCACACCCAGTCTTCCCTCTTTATGGACTTTACTGTGCGCTTAGCGAGGTTTCGTAGGGCGACGGTCTGTGATTGGACCCTGGACCACGTGTGACGTGGTTGGCGAGTGTTCTTCCACTGAACCACCAACTCTGTAACTTTAATAACACTGATGATAGTAATAACGATGAACAATGTTATATATATATATATATATATATATATATATAAACCTCAACAGTGTAAACTAGTATCTCTTAACTTGCATTTCGTTACTACCATTAAATACTGGTCTACCCTCACAAAAACGTTAAATGGCTACTTGTTCGTAAAAAGAATAGACATGATTGTCTCTAGTCTCTAATATTCTTATTATTGCAGAATGTTTTCTATTAGCTTGGTTCTGAAATAGACTGAAAACTGGTACAACAATTCGATCGAAGTAACCATTATTCGATTTTGATTTTATCTCACAGTCGTCTGTAGGTAAAAATCAAACACCTGTTTAATGCGTATATATGTATGTATATAGATGCATACGAAGTGTGTTGTGTGTTAATGTCGATTGCAAGTGTGTATCATCTGTTTATATATATATATATATATATATATACAAGCTCCAGTGTTTTATTCTTGTATGATGTAATACTAATGGAATAATATTACGTTAGATTGCATTAAAATATATTTCTCCTAGTATAATAAGTATTGCGTTTTCTCCTCTGGTCAATCCTTGTAAGTCTATATTTCCCTAAATGGGAATTGATATTATCATATATATATATATATATATGGGATAAAATGAAATGGAATGGGATTGTTACTGTGTAGTATACGACAGGTAGATAGATCAGTGTATCATATCGTAATGTCAAATTGAATTGTGACATTGAAAAATATAGTTCACCAAAAGAACTAATGATATATATATATATCAAAACTTTTCAGTTGGACTTAGTGCAAGATTCATCATATACGACAAGGCTAGATCACATACATAAATTTATGTCCTGGTGTGGCGTGTTTACTCTTTTAATTGATATGTAGTTGATCTTCTTCTTCCTTCCCAATCACAGAAACATCAAACTATGCTGAGGCTATTTTTAAGGTTTTAGTTGGATGAATAAAATGCGATCATTCATTCATTTATATCTAAGTGTAATATGTTCGTCCTGTCCCTGCTTTGCTATTCACTCTGACAATGCTAATCTAGTAGTCTCATTAAAGTTGCCTCTGTCTATCATCCTTCAGTATTTGACTCTATGACCTCGAGTCTGCAGATATCGTTTTACTGTGCAATAGCATTCAGGTTTCCCAGGTTGCACTTAATCAGTTGGGGCGATCAGTGTCTGTAAGAATGGCATGGTATGTGCCTTGGGCTGTTTAAGTGTAAGGCAGTTCTGTTGTTACACGTTTGGCAGGAGACTGTACCTGCACTCTTTCTTTGCAGGTGGACCACTTGAAGTTGTCGGTAAGTTTGTGTATCTCGGTGACGGACCAAATTTCTGACTGTATAATGAAAGCTGAGGTGGCATGCACCAATTTGAGCCACCTCTGGCCACCACCGCCGCGATTTCAGCCGGCCTGACAAAGGTCAGATTTACATTGCTTCTGTGCGCACAATCTGGTGAAACCTGGTCTCTCCCAGGTAAAGATGTGTGGCGAATCTGCGTATTCTGTCATCGCTGTCTACGCAGAGTTGCTTGTGTCATCGCGTGAGTAATTCTGAGGTCCAGTGGTGAGTGTGTTTGGACACAGTGGAGATCACCGTTAGTTGAGTGTCGTTGGTTTCGGGGGCTTGGACATGTGCTACAAATATTATCCTAGAGGCTTCCGTACTGGTCTCTGTTCGTTAGCCCTGGGACTGGATGGGAAAAGTGGAAAGGTAGTCAGCCTATGACATATGGTGTCGTCGGATGGGGATGAAGGATATTTTTGCTAGGTTAGCATGGGTTGGTAAACCACAACTTCCTATTAGTTGTTATCTTCTGGAAAGGTGTTGCCAAACGAGGTATGCTTTTAATTTTTGGCTGTTGAATGTTACGGATAGAAGAGATGGTATTTATTACACAAAGCTTAGTCATATCTTTCCTGTTATTACTTACTTTACTTTATTTGTGTATGTTCGTAGTGGAACACACGGCGCCTTCAAACTAGAGCTTTTAAGTTTCGGTAGCAGGAGTGCTTGTTTTTTACGGGATGGGGTTACTGCTAGCCTCATTGCTCCCACCCTTCCCTCTTTACCACTTTTATTACCGACTTAGCGAGGTAAAGCAGTGCATCGCTGTGGCCTTCCGGGGATCGAACCCAGAACTACATGTGGGGGGGGGACGTGGTTAGCGGCGAGCATTCTACCGGTGTGCCATAGACTCAACTCTATCCTGTTCATCAACTTATTTTGTTGTATGTGCACACTCAAAAATGTTGCATTCCATTTTCGCTTCATAACCAATAACTTTTATTTTTCGTCTTACACAGTTTGTGGAGATATTCATGGACAATTTTTCGATCTCATGAAATTGTTTGAAGTCGGTGGAGATCCTGCGACTACTAGATATCTTTTCCTTGGAGATTATGTTGATAGGGGATACTTTAGTATTGAGGTAAGATGAATATATTTGTACAGAAAACAAACATTTGAGTTTAATACAGTTTCTTATTTTCGCCTTTTTTATTTTACTTAGTTTAGAGTTGTTTTTTCAGTGTGATGCATAAATTTAGTGCTGTGGTTTATTCATCCTGATACACAAACACCACCAGGACATCCCATACGTTGCAGGAAGTGTGGATTATAGCGCCTAAGCGTACCAACACATTCATGTAATTTTAGATATAATAGAGAGGAGATTTTTACAGCTCATGTGGATGATTTTGATGTTTACTTGTGTGTTCTCTGAGCTGATTGGCCGGGCTGGTTTACTCGGATTCCTCTTTTCTTGTGAATTTGATATAGTTGAAGATGTTGTTTATAAGGTTGTCAGTTGTCTCCTATGATTATCACGAATGTGTCATCCTCGTAACATATCTAAATTTTGAGTTTTGATTTTCGGTAGGATTTTGTTTTCGAAACATATTAAACCCTTGACACTTGAGTACATTTTAAAAGAATGGTTACACTGAACAAAGAATATTCACATCTGCGATAACTTGCTCTTCATCATCCCCCATGTTCTACAGTTATATATGCATCCATCCATAATAGTGATTGAATGAATTAGTGTTATTAACAACACTAATGTTGTTTGAATAACATCGAATCAATAAGAATAATAAGATCACTGGATTACAGTTCGATACCAACAACATAACAATACATTGAATGAATATCAGAAAAATTAGGAGAGATGATAATAATACAAATTCATGAATTTGTTATAGTCTGTATTGAAGGCCGGCCAGGGCATTAGTGGTGGTCAGTCGGTCGGTCGGTTTTCGACATAGAACTTTGCACATATGTGCGGCAGTTCAAGTCTCCACAATCTAGCATTAGTGGTGGCTGGTTGAATCTGTTTTTTTCGCACCCACACACAGCACTGGTTATTTCAGGTGAATCGTGATAGCCTTTGCTGTTTGGAGTATGCGGTACCTAGATGTTTTTGTCAGTTTATTAGGTACCTGATAGATGATGACGGAGAAGGGTCAGGTGGTTTATTGTCGTACTGTTGATGGGTTTTACTACACTTTTACTTGGCCATATTGGTAGATGTTCCTGAGCGAGGACAAAAATCAAGTTCCTAGAGCGACGACCAATATAACTCGCTCCACCACAATCTCAGTTGAATCGGTAGGTATAAATAAAGGGGTGACTAGTCTCGTCTAGTTTAGGTACTTTATCTTTCAATTGGGCAATCACCACTGGTCGTGTAGAAAATAAGATTTGCTGCAGTTTGCCAGAATTAAAAGATCTTTGAACTGATTATCTTAACTTCTTTGTAATATCACCCTTGAATTAAATTCGTATGTATAAAGGCTTCTGTTTACGGATAGTGAAAAGTCCTTTTCAACTTTCTTAGTCATATGTTTCCTGGTAAATTTGTCTGGTTAGCTAGCTATTTTCAATCAAGGTGTCATACACAATCCTTAGTTCATCTTCAATTAAATTAGTGTTGCTAATAACACTAATTCATTCACTAATTATATATATATATATATATATATATATATATATATATAACTGTAGAACCTGATGATAAAAAGCAGGTTATCGAAAACGTAAATATTCTTTCTTCAGTAACCATTTTTTTTGAAAAAATTTTAATGGGCATTTTTAATCACTTGAGTATTTAGCAAGGAAACTGAAACTTTGAAACATAAAATAAAAAAATCAGATAATTGTGAAAACACCCTTATTCCAAGTATTCTGTTTTTCCCCTTTCACTTGAGAGAGATTAGTAGCTAGTCTGTATTTTTCGATGCTACTGTCGGTCTTAATGCTATTTGTACGGAAATCTAATTATGGCTATTAGCGATTTCATGGACGCTTTTTTATGTTTAACCCCGCCTTTTGCAGTTGACTGGTTGGATGTAGCCGAAAAGTGGTCATTAACACATGTATGGACAGGGTCAACGTTTTGGCTGTAATGATGACTTAGTATCGTCGGTTCAAAGAATTTTTATAGTTATGGAAGTAGACCACTGTATTATCACCTTTGAAGGCTTCTGTTTAGTGAGGCTAAGTACTTAATGCATCTTGTTGGTATTGCATTTTGAATAATTGTTTATCAGTAGTTTACTGTTTGTTTGGTGTACATTCATTCTTCCAGTTATCGTGATGTTTTGAAAATAATTCCCCTGTCAGTCATCGAACCGTTATTGACAGACAGACAGGCTGGCTCTGGCTAGTCACAGTGACCTGATGGATAATGGGTTGGCGTGGAGATATGGCTCACTCCCATTGGATTCCGGGTGGAACATAGGGCTGGCTTCAACAGAACATCTCCACTTTGTCCTGTTCTTTGCAGTCCTCTTTAACCGGCTCCACAACTACCTATAAGTCGTCATCTCCTACTCCTATTCACATGATCTCCATGTCACCCTCGAAATGACGCCCAACTTATCTTTCCCTATTTTGAGGTTCCGTTCAATTGCGTGGAATGTGATGTTAGTCAAAGGTCTCATCAATGTGTCCCCGTTGCATTTCCATTTTCTTCGGGATATTTGTTAGGCGATAGACAATTGGTTGTTGGTTTGTTGCCATCTGATCTTCTGTAGGAGGCAATCAGCTAAGGCAACTATTGATGAAGGTCTGCACTGGTCTGTTGTAAATGCTTTACGTGACGCGGCAAGTTTCTGACTCATATGGAAGAAATAATTTGACCTTGGCATTAAAAATTCGAACCTTTTTTCTTATACATAATGCAGCATATATTTCCACAATGATTTCAGAGTGATGATGGTCTGTCTTGCCTTTCCTATCCTGGCTTGTTTTGACATCTTGATTCGTGGTGCCACCTACAGTTGAAACGATGATACCTAGCTAGGAAGTGCTGTCTTTTAAATTTCACCCGTCCTTAGTGATTAATGCTTGTTGTTGGTTGGTTATTTTAATCGCCTCCATTTTCTGTTTTTAAAAATTCATTTAAAGAGTACTAACCACATCCTATGCACAGGATCATGCAAACACGAGAATTATTGTAGTGGTCATGTTGTAATATCTTAGTGATCAAAATATAGGCAACTTGTCGGGCAGTATTATTAGTGTTATATATATATATATATATATATATATATATATATATATTCATCAAACAAACTCAAGCATACAGTATTGGCAAAACTGCAGTGAGACATTGGCAACAGAATTAGAATAATGAATTGAGCTATTACCTGCACCTTTATACTTGACTAGAAACCAAGTCCATGTGACCGACCCCCATTGTCTCACGAACAGATTACATGTGTGAGAATGTGAGTATTATATTTACAAATCAACACATTTACTTAATCACTTGATTCTCACCCAGTTGGTCACGAGTTTGAGTTCCGTCCCACCTACCTTGAGCTGTGACAACTGGTTGGTGAGATATCACCGGACCTCACACAATCAGTGTGACTTGTAGCCTGGCACAAGAGAAACCTGATCCGAGTAACTACAACTTCTAACTTAGCTAGCCACAAAGGTGGATTCTATGGACCACCACACTACAAGCAACCATATAACTAGATCTTAGTAGAGATCCATGAAAAAATAAAGTCTCCAAAGCTTTGAGTCTATTTGCTCCATGTCAGTTGTAATACCAAGTCGCGGAATGGTATTGACAATCTTTCTATGGAAGAAACTCTTAAAACTTCCATGGGTGCTTTCAAATAACAACTGGTCAGGATGGTTGTTCTGTAGCATCGTGTTGATAGAAAAATTGGGTTACAATATTCAAAGTGACTTAAACCTTTCGGGAGTATCTTTATTTGTTTGAAATGCCTCTGGGGTCCCATTTCTCTAGGGTCATTCCTCTGATTTGTGTGAAACGTTTGCATCTGTTTTTCCAACTTGCTTTTTGTCACTATACAGAAAATAGCAAGCTGCATACATATGCCCAGTGTGAAGTCGAAGGAAACAGACTTCATACCTATTCGCAGTTGGCAAAGAGTTAGAAAGTCCTACTGGAGCATGGGGGTGTTTTGATACACGTCACTTATACGAATAAGAACATCAGACAATTATACAACCTGTCATTATTACTTATTCGTCCAACTTGCATCGTCACTACCCCCGCCCCATTCCCCTATGGGACTGTGCCTTTTTTTTGGATGTATAATCAGTGGGTAGGAGTTTGACTTTATGATAACAAAGACAAGACCAAACTGTTATTTGTGACTGATGAAAGCATAGGAGTTAATGCAAAAGAATCAGCTATTCCATTGGGCAAAAATATGTAGACCCACTCCATTTAGCCTGATATCAGCTTCAGTCTGCCCCACGACTTCCGACTACTAGCTATCGTCACCCTTGAATGTCACGCCTCAGCGTACATGTCCAATCCATTTCCATTTCCCTCCTTCTGCATATTTATTGGGGTTGGCAATAGGTTGTTGCCTGGTTCAATGCCTGCCAGAGTTGCTTGTCGCTTGCTAACCCTTTCTGGCTGACCGGCTATCTGATCATTAGTATCCAATAAAAGGGGTAGATTTTGATGTAAAACTACAACAACCCCCACCCCTCCCCCCCTGGAAGTACTTTTAGTGTTATGCGCTCCAAGTTAATAAGCCATATAGAAGCACTTGAAACAATTGACATTAGTGTTAAGTACTGTGTATCTCTCCACACACTGGTTTTAAAGTGATGAAAATCCGGCTTTCTCTACCTAATCGTGGCTTGGGTTTACTCACTCACTATTGGAACAACTTTTATTCTGTGGCCTATTGAATGACACCTGATGTCATGGAAAGGAAATGTGATTACCCAACTGTTTTTCTAGTGTTTTATAGTATTTGTGACCATATAATACGTGGTTTATTATCTGCCTAATAAATTGGTTGGAGGATTTCATCATGAGCTGACATCGGTTGGCTAGAGAACCATTGGAAAGCCACCTAGGAGTACTGGACAGCTGTTTCGTCCGTCCCAGTTTGAGGCTGGCTATTCAGCAGTACGCACCCACCACCA